CGCCCACGCCCGCGCCCGCGCCCGCCACCCGGTGGTCCGGCCGCGGCCGGCGCGGCGACGCCGGGCTGCCCGGCTGCTGACGTCATCGCCGCGAGCCCGGACTCGAATTCGGCCGCCAGGCTTAGGCGCGGCCCAACGCAGCCGCCGCCGCCGCGCCCGCGGCCGCGCTTTGCGACGGCGCGGGAAAGGGTGAAGTATGGGGTTGCCTGGGGCGGCACGGGGTCACACTGCAGCTGCTGCTGCTGTCCGGAAGCATGGTGCTGCTGTGGGTGCTGCTGGACTGCCGGCGAAGGCGCTAGGGGCTGCTGCTGCCTCTGCCCCTGCTCCTGCTCCTGCTGCTGCTGCTGCTGCTGCTGCTGAGGTGGTGGCTGAGAGGATTGCCCTGGGGGCAGCTCCCCCTGCTGTTGCTGCTGCTCCTGCTTTGGTTGATCCGGCGGCACCGCTTGCGGCGTCACTCGTGCAATGGGTGCCGCCAATGACTGTTCAGCTTTCAGCCCTGGCAGCTCGCTATTGCCGATGACGACCAGCTGATCAGCGTGAATGGGCTCGATGCCGAGCGCCAGGTTGCCGGGGTGCTGCGCCGCAGGCAGGGGTGATGTGGCGCCCGCGACCACCGTGGCCGGCGCCGCCGGCGAGCCCAGGGCAGGGGCGTCACCGGCGCTGGAGTCGCCGGCGTCGTCGCCGCATTTCCTCTGCGAGGAGCTCATGGCGCCAACAAGCAGCGCGCGATGAAGCCTGCAGCATTGAGTGGAAGGTCGAGCGGCGCTCAGCACGCCCACGTGGCGGAGCGCGCAGATGTAACCCGGCGCCGCCAGCGCACAAGGGGCGCATGGTGCTGCCACGGAGTCGTGGCCAGTTACACCGCTACTTTTTTGCATCAGTAATACATGTGCGTTGTCCACGACGTTGCACACCAGCGCGCCAACTTACCGCGACCAAACGATCTACGCGCCCTTCAGCCCCTAGAGGTTGCTATAATAGCAAAATACAATCATAAAACCGTCTGAGACGCCTCATCGCAGCCTCATGCCTTGCGCTGATAAGATCTACGTCAGATCGTCATCCAGTGACTAGTTTCTGGCCTTGTGCTGCCTATTTGTTTGATATATGATTGTACCAGATACACCACCAGCCATTCTCGAAGACCAAGTCCACGCTATCGGTTCTCATATCAATTTCAGCAAGCAGGCTGCATTTGCTTGAGATCAGTGGACTGACAAGCGCCTGTTCAGCCAAGCAGCATAGTTGCAGTGTTGCAGGTGCGGCGGAGCAAGCGTCGCGGCCCGGCGATAGCGCAGCAGTGACCCCAAAGGCACCGGCCGCGCAGGCCTGCCCCTTCTGCTGCTGCAGCGGTGACGGCAGTGGCCGCGAAGCCCGGCCTGCCTGCCCGCCGCGGGGGGTGCCGGCGCCGGCAGGAGCGTCCGCCATGGACAAGTACGAGAAGGGTGTTGTGCTGGGCCACGGCACGTTCGGCAGCGTCTACAAGGCCGTGCATAAAGAGGTGGGCTCAGGGCCGGCTCGCCTCTTGCCCGCGCTACATTGTTTAGGAGGGCAGCGCGCATCACCAGCAGCGGCGCCTCACGGACGCCTGGCACCGCTGCCGACGGCTTTTTCTGTATGAGCTGCGGCCCCAGCCGCCGCTCGCGCTGCCACCCGCGGCCGCTGCACGCTGCTCCTTGTCCTCCTGCTGCCGCCCCTACTGCGCCTTACAGCACAGCCGCGCACTCCCGCGTCCCCCAACGCAGACGGGTCAAGTTGTCGCAATCAAGAAGATCAACGTTGGCGCCAGCAACATGGTGGGCGCCCACGTGCAACAGCCCCACAGCCCACTTAGGGCGCTCTTCCTTGCGCAACCCCTGCCGACCCTGCAGGCCCTTTCCTGCCGGCTGCCCGTGGCTGCGGTTCCCCAAAACCCGTCAAAGCGGCCCCGCCTGTATGCAGTGTGCATACTCCCTCCAAGCAAGCCCTCCACGCAGCCGCCAGACCCCCCTCCAATGCCTCCACCAGCAACTCAGACCCCCCCACAACCCAAAAGCTGCCCTCATATCGCGTATGACATCACCAGGGTGTGGACGTGACGTCACTGCGTGAGATCAAGCTGCTGAAGGAGCTCAGATCACCCTACATCGTGCGGCTGCTGGATGTCTTCCCACACAAGCGGAAGCTGACCATGGTGACGACCCAGATAGCTGCAGAAGGCGCCGCTTGCTTCGCACGACTTTGCATGCCTTTGCAGCCGTCCGCGGAGCGCTCCTGCGGGCGGCGGGGCCCCTCGCGTGGCCGTTGAGGACAGCGCCGGCGGGCCGCCGGTCTGAGGACCTTCAACAGCCCGTCCCTGCTTCAGCCCCTCTGCCCTGTCCACCTCAACTTTGCACCACTCACGCCATGTGTCGGGTCTCATCCAGGTTTTTGAGTTCATGGACTCTGACCTGGAGGCCCTAATCAAAGCCAAGGGCGTGGTGCTGTCCCCAGCTAACATCAAAGTGAGCCGCCCACATCATCGCTGGTCAGACGGTATACCAACGCCATGTGTGTTTTCGGATCGGCGCCAGAGCCACCTGCGCGGACCTTGGGGTGCTCATGCAGCCGGCGGGGCGGGCAAGCACTCGCGGCGCCGGGATCGCTGGCTCCTGGGGCCGCGGGGAGAGGCGCACGGTGGCGGCGAGGCCGCACCCTCCCCCGCCCCAGGGGACACGGGGCCGACCACTTCTGTCAGTCCTGCACCCAAGTCACACGTCTTACATCGCATGACATCACGCGTCGGCACGGCGACAATGGGCGCACCGTTAGATATGTGAAGCCCAGCCAGCCTCCCGCAGGCTGCCACGCCCCCATCCAACGGATTTCACATGAAGCCTGATTCCATCCTTTTGCCTCCCTTTTCTTGGTCGGACTCAGCATCATTACCCTGAAACCCCCCCCCACCACCACCACCACGACCTACCCACCTTAACCTGGTGCGCAGGCCTACCTGCAGCTGCTGCTGCGCGCGCTGGACCACTGCCACTCCCACTGGGTGCTGCACCGCGACATCAAGCCCAACAACATGCTGGTGGACGGCAACGGTGGGAACCGCAAACAGCAGGCCCGAAATTCCAAAACAGCTGCTGCTGATGCCGCTGCTGCTGCTGCTGCTGCTGCTGCTGCCGCTGCTGCTGCCGCTGCTGCTGCCGCCGTCATCGCCGCTGCTGTTGCTGCCGTTGCAGCTGCCGCCGTCGCCGCCGCTGCTGTTGCTGCCGCTGCTGCTGCTGCCGCTGCTGCTGCTGCCGCTGCTGCTGCTGCCGCCGTCGCCGCTGATGCTGTGTCTGATTACGGTACCACTACAGCAGCCCCTGTTTCTGAGCGACGCTTGCGTTCTACTTTTCCTGGCGGCGCATCGCATGACACTATGGCAGCCGCGGCGAACGTCGCTGTTGATGCACAGCTCAGCGTTCTCACCCCCTTCCGCCCCGGCCGATCGCGCAGCCGCGCAGCACCCTGCCGCGGGGCGCTCGCTGCCCACCCCTAAACAACGCCCTCTCTGCGCAC